TGAACTCCACAGCAGTCCTTCCAGTAGCCGGACTGCCGTATCGTTCAAGATACACCTATTTAACAAATACCTAGATGTGGTCTTCCTGATGTGTTTTGATGGTAGAATTTTAATTTTTAGTCTCTAAATACTTGGAATAGGTTACCTTACAAGTTAGATTTTTAAGTATTTCTCAGAAGAGAAGTGGCTAGAAGCCCTGCTGCTATAGCTCCTCCTTATATAAATGATCCCTGTAGTTCAGAGGTTGCCTATGTGATTAAGAGATTGCGGGCCTGAGTCCATAAAATAACTTGAGTACTATTATTCTTATCTGAGAAAAAGAAGCAAGCGCTTAAAATCTCACTGTACTAATGACAAATTGCACATTTCATAGTAATAATTTTTGCACTTCTGGAACGGTGACATGAAACGAGGCATTTATGCTAACCGTATTGGTTCCGCTAGCATTATTTATTACGTTAGATCATGCAAACTTTTTCTTGTGTAAGATGGGGAAACAGGTCATATGTTTACTTGTCTCTGGTTTGTGGCTTGCAGATACTTTCTGTTACCAACAACACAGAATGTGCGAAGCTACTGGAGGAAATCAAATGTGCACACTGCTCACCTCACGCTCAGAACCTATTCCACTCACCTGAGAAAGGGGAAACACCTGAAAGAGAACTAACTCTTCCCTACCTGTGCAAAGACTATTGTAAAGAATTCTATTATACTTGCAGAGGTCACATACCAGGTAAAACCTATAACAAAATACGGGGCTAAAGGATGTCTGTTTTGAAATGTTGATATTGCCTGAGCGGTTATAGATAGGTACTTCTTCACTAGGTAAAGCCCCCATTGATATCCAGGGGATTTTGCCCAAGCAAAGACAGAATATCTCAGGGTCTTCGCAGGGGATCTTATGTAGTGAGGTGTATGTTTTGAGCGCTTTCTTGCCACCCTCCTATTAAATTCTCCATGAAACACAGGATTGTTTGTTGTCAACTGAAACTATTACCCCTGCTGAAATATTAACGTGTTCATTCAAGTTCTGTAAACAAGCAGTTGGCCATCCAAAAGGCTATTCTAAATGATAGATAGCTTTAAAATGCAAGAAATAAAGGATGCTGGCTGTTTGCTGTAGACTCTAAAAGCTGATGAGTAAAGTGGTTTTTTCTGGTTTTGTTACCCTAGAAACTGATGTTTTTTCCACAGGGTTTAAAGCCCATTGAATTCAAAGGGAGCTATTTGATAGACTTCTGTGATCTTTGAATCATTTCCAACATGCTGTTAACAACCAAATTCTTAACTAACCTAACACTTCCTCACTGTAGTCAGTAGAGTTAGCTGGACGTAACCAAAACCAGAATTTCACCTGTGTTGTCTAAGGCAGTCACCAAATGTGTGCTATCACTTGTAAGTATATCAACAAAATAACCACAGAGGATGGTTCTTTTAGAAATACTGTCTTAATACACGACTATATTAAATAACGTCTTTGGTATTCTCAGTAGTAAATTATTTATATGTTTGAGACTGTCATTTTTAAACTATGCTTTTTTCCCTGTCCAAACACTACTTATAAATAATGCCACACAGGAGAAAATAATTAAACTGGTTAAGATTTTTTTTTTTTTACTAGCAACACAGACTGGAAAAAAAGAGTTGATAATGATATGAAAAATGAATTTATGAATAGTCATTTTTGACATATGAACACAGCTTTGTAATATAATATAAACATATTTGAGGAAAGGGGATAGTTTAAGTGGATGAGATTTGGAGGAGGGTTTTTTAATTGCGTGTGTACAGCGTGTACTTGTTTTCTCTGAAATCCCAAGAGCGCAGGGATTTTTTGCAGCGTTCTTTTATTGACTTGAGAAAACATTTTGAATTGACTTACTTTTTCCCTTTCCTGTGGTTTAGCATGTATCTCAACCCATTCAAATATGAAAATATTATTATTGTCTTTATAAACTAAGAGATGTTTCTAAGGCTTTCTTAAACCAGCTGTTTCTTGCTCTTTATCACATTCCCCAAAGCAAAGCAGAATAGATCACAGTTGCCAAGACTGCCTGCTGAACAGCGATAACAGATTAGATATTCTAAATGTTTGGCCCATATAAGAAGTCAGCACAAAGACTTTTTTTGACATGAGTTTGTAGCTAGTGCAAACGATTAGCATATTCTGCAGAGCGAGTCCCTCATAGTTGTTTTGTGAAATTCTGTGTTTCTGAGGAAACAATTTCTTTAATTGGAAAAAAGTGCAAGAGGGAAAAGGGAGAAAGAAGGAGGAGGCGGAGGGAGGGAGAGAGAATGAGAAAGGGCTGAGCAGCACAGGAGCTATAGCCACAGGAACCTCACTCCTCAGATCAACATATGTGGTGACGAATGACAAATTTATTTTTCTACAAAGTTTGTGTATATGTAAAACTGCTGAAGTGCATCAAGATGTCAAGTGCTTTTTGTGACCACCCAGGTTGCCTTGAAAGATAACCAGATGAAAGCATAACTTTAGCACTGGACAGAGCACTGTGCTTTGCAGGAAAAGAGCTTACATACTTTAGCATCAGTTAAAATAGGATTTTTCCTACATCAATCAGATGCTAATAATCATTCTAAATACTTGTTCTGAAAGTGGGTTGTACTAACAAAAAGTTGTTGCGCATCACAGCCACCAACAGGGTTAATTTGGTGACTTGGCTGGTACATATGGTTGTTGATACCTATACTAGGATTTCCTGAAGGTATTAATTAAGATTCAGGTCCCTCTTTTTACGAAGATGGCCTACTGGATTTTAATATAGTTTGATAGTCTTATACATTCTAAAATATAAATAATTAAAATAACAACTTATTTGGGTTTTCTAGGTTACTTGTGAGACCTGTATATCCATAATATTTATTGCAAAAGAAAGAAAAAAATTTAAAAGTGGAAGCTATGTTTTCAGCTTAGCCTGGAGGATTAAACAAAGAGTTGGAAATTAACAGGCCCCCAAAACCAAGGTCTCTGGCAATGATTCACTGTGCATTTGTTAAAAAGTCAAATTATTACTCTTCTTCCATTAGGGAGTGCTAATTGTTTCTGAACACCAATACAAAGGAGTTTAAGGAAATTGCTGACTGCAAAAATAATTTTATCCCTTAAGTCCTGCACAAATGAGAAATATTATTAGCGATTTAAGATAGTAAGCATCTTTTCTGGAATTGAAATGTTAGCAATACGTATTAACCAAGAAGACTGAGAAATTACACATCACTTTTTTTCATGAGCTAGCTCCAGAAATTCGTTTATTGTTCTGTCTCTTTTTGCAAAGACGAAAAACTCTAGCAGATCCTTGGTTAACTGCTCGGAAGACAGCAGTTTGCCCACCAGTTATGACTGTATCAGAACTTACATTGACTTCTTTAGGAATATCCGAAGAAAAAGTGGACCCAATTCTTTATTCAAACAGAATAACAACAATAGCTGTTAGGATTGTATGGATATGTTAACGCAGGAGGGTGTAATGTTTCACAAAGTCTGTGAGATTAGAACTTCCCTGCTTCAACCCAGGTGACTGTTCTCATTATTTCTCATCTATCTTTACTCTAAGCCTCAGTTTAAGTGATTACTGATGGAGACACTTGAGTTCAGTGACTTAATGATCTTCAATCAATATGAATTTTAAGTTTTCCAAGGTCATAAGAGAAGAGTGTCTAATATTTATTATTAATATAGCTAGTAAAGAAAGGCATGGCTGATTCTCCCTTTAGGCACGAGCAGAAACTTGATCCATGCCAGTGGAAGTGATATATTCTAGGGAACAAACCTGTGCCACAGCCACGGTGTGTTCTGCCATCCAGGGACATCGGACAGATTTTGAACTATGTGCTCTCCGTTATTTTCATTTGAAGAAATGGGTTCCAGATGATTGTGGCTGAATTCAGATCCAGGCCTAGATCTGAATCCAGGCATTACCAGAACAGATGCTCGATACGAATTTTTTAACTCCAAACAGGGGCACCCCAGCCTAAAATGCTGGAAATCTAAGAAATTCTGCAGCCCACGCAACACTTCCAGAAGTTCTCACATAGTTGACTAATAGTCACAGTCAACATAGTCAACCTGCAGAAAAATAGTAGTGGCTCATAATCTTGCTACTGCTAACAAGAGCATCAAGGGGATTAACCGTGGCACTGCCTGTGTGCAGGTATGTGCAATGTGTGAGTATGAGAAGAGGGCCACTACTCACTTGAAAACCAGCAGGAAATGATGGGAGCTACCACTGGACTTCTTACATTTTGAAACAAGCAGTCTGGAATCACCTCTTTGATTTACTTTTCACTGAGAGTTGAGAAGAGAGAGGAGAATGTGGGTTTTGTGAACAAATTCATATCGAGCTGTCAAAAGTGCAAATCAGAAAAAAAAAACCCCAAACCAGGAAAATGCTTCTTTTACACAATACTGAACTGTATGCTCAAGGTCATAGCAGGAATAAAGTGGGTGAGCCTGATTTCCAGATGCTCTCTAAGCCAGCGTGGGTCTACTCAGATGAGTGGATGATATTCAATCCTGTGTGCAGTGCAAAGAAGGAAGGGAGCGAATAGGAACTTGACTTGCTGTAAAGGCCGAGACAAATGCTACCACGACATTTGAGTTGTGTACCAAAGAGAAGAGGCCGGGGGATGGGTAAGCAGGGAATCCAGCAACGTGGAATTTGGTGAAGGTAGGATAAGAAGGAAGATACAGTGTGAGGAATAACTGACCGCAAATGTGAGTGGAGAGGGAGGTGAGGATCAGCTGAGAGCAGAAGTTTTCCTTTGGAAAGGCTTGAAATCATGCAGCTTATTCTCACAGTTTTTTATAAAGGCGAACACAGAAAGCCTTCACTGTAACTGCCTTAACTGAAAAGTCTGTAGTTTGATTCTTGTTTGCATGACAGAAAGTTTTAAAAGCATAGAAATGCAAGCCTGTGCAAAATCTGACATGTACAACACTTAAACATTATATTTAATCTTCCTTTGTGATTTCAGTTTTCTTTGTTAACATGGGCACTGCTCTGTCAACACATACACAGCTGGTAGGAAATTTGTAATTATATGTATGAGTCTTTTAAAGTAAAGTAATGAGTACAGAAGTTCACACAGGACCAAATGTTGCAGTCCTTATTAGGCATAGTTCTCATAGAGGACAGGGACAGAGCTGTATTTGAATAAACTCAGACTGAGCAAAATGATCTTTTTTTTTTCTCCAAACAATTCCTAGCGCTTAGGGGCACTTGTCAGGGACCATTCTTCTGGACACTGTACAAACACTGAACAAAATGGCTAACTCTACACTAAAATCTAAGTATGATAAAGAAAACATTAAATGGCTACAAGCAGACAGGAGAGTAGAAGCAAATGTTTTTCTAACTGTCTTTAGTGAAGCTGTTAGTATGTTGAATCTAGCATATATAACACGAACAGATTTTTTTTCGGTAAATTACTGTGTTTTTTATAGAACAAAATTCCATCCCTGGTACACAGGTGAAACTGTATTTACAGAGGTTACATTCCTTCCAGTAATGCAACATTTCAGCAATTTACTGACTGATTTTCATAGTTTAATTCAAACCCTATTTTTTACGAGCATTTCTCAGGAAAACGGAACATAAGCCTTCTCCTTTGTTGGAACCTGCTGATGGGTTGGCTAAATAGCAGAAGGCAACTGCAGTGCAACATGTACTTAAGTGCACGATAAAATATTTCATAAGGAAGAGGGATTAGTCTTACATATAAGAAAAGGCATTGCATAAGGCATTAGTCAAGTGAGTGTGCATCTGACTGTTATTTGAAATGAACATGTACCAAGTAAACAATATGATCATAACACGCTCTCCGTTTTTCTGACTAAAGATAACATTCAAGCCAAGAGTAGTTTATCTTTAGTAAATGGTAGATGGTATACTTGGAAAATTCTAGAAATTCTTAGAAATTGTACACCTCTAATTTGCTATTGCATTTTCTTGAATGACCCACTGTGCCTAGAGAAATAAATTATTAAAGACAAAACTGTGTATTCTTAAGTGAAATAATTCAACAGCAAGATTTTAGATTACCTTTGATTTTGGCATTATATCTACAAGCCTTGGAATACTACGCTGTGATTATATCAGAGTTCCTCTTCAGTTGTTCCACTTGAAATTATATCTCCCATTTTCTCCAAATAACTACTATAAATTAAAACCAGCTCCTCAGAGATGATATTTACTGAAGCTCCAAATCATGGTAATTAAACTTTTACACCACAACACACTACCATGTGTTTCCAGATATTATTTTATAGAAACCAAAGGCAGGCTTTGTCGTGTTATTTTTCCAATATTTTTAAAGGAAGATGCATATGAAAAGAAGTATAGTTGGGTGGGAAAGGCTTTCCACTCCACAAAAATTCTGGGATCTAAAAAATTTTCCTATTCCACATAAGGAAGAAATTGAACTCTTTCGAAATTTTCCATGAAGAAAGCCACAGAGAGACCACCCCAGGATAGCTAATAAAGTCGTTGTTAGGACATTTACTTGGGAAATGGGAGACTTAGGGTCAAACTCTTGCCTGACAGATGAGGGGCATTGACCTGAATATTCCTCTTCCTAATGAAACACCCTAATTACAAAACATTGGAGTATAGTGATAGGAGGTTTGCTGTCTGTTTCTCTCTTCTTTCATTTAGACCAGAAGTTTGAGTTTGGACCAGAAACATCATGTTAACTAAAATTTTGTCAAAACTGATAATGTTTCTGAAAAAGAAATTGGCATTTTCCAGTGAAACACAGCTGTCCCTGATCAGCTCTTATTGTACGTTATAAGCCAGAGGGTTTATGGCCAAGATCTATGGATTACTGCATTATTCACAAGTGGTAAAGCCATGCATAAATTAGGCCTCTAATTCCAATTAAGTGCTAATTCTGTGTATCCTATGAGTTATGTCCTGGACCATAGTACGTCCTAACACAGTATGCCAATAATGCAAAGAGGAATGAAGGTAACTTAAGACATATTATCTTAACATTTTGGTAAAATAGTACATGTATAACTAGCCAAATTCTATCTTCTTAGCTTTAATGCTAATGATTAAAAAATGGATAGAAATTACTAGAAATAGGTTTGTGGACAGAAACAGATATTTTTGCTGTCATTAAACATAGTGTAATATCAGTAGTGGCAGGGTTTTTCCTCAAAGGCTCTCATTTTACCAACTTCTTGTTTCCCTGGGTCTTCGAACCCCTTCCCATTTTAACCTGAAACCTAAAGACCACCTTTCATCCAAGCCAGCTTAAAGCCAGCTCCAATGCAGCATGAGACATATCCCCCTTTTCGGGGGATGGGGGCTGAGGAAGCAGACCTCGTGATGGGACACTGCGTTCTCCCACTCTAATGCTGGGAGTCAACCAGAGGCCAACTGCATGTCAACACGGTGCAGTTTGCAGCAGTACTTCTCGCTTTCTGAGACAACTAATTATTCACCTCTCCGACTGATGGCCTTTGCTGCCAGCATTCCACAAAGTCTTTACTGCATGTCTTTTACCGAAGTCTTACTGAAATTTTTACTACAACAAGCCACTTAAAAAAATTAAATGAAAGCTGCTCAAGCTATTTTACAGCCAATACTACACTTGATTAATAGGGTTAAAATCAGGGAAAAGCGTATCACAGCCTTAACTCTGAACTTTGTCTCTTAAGTTTTTAACGCGTGAAGTGTAGTGGCATTTTGAATGAACTGGTATTTTTATTTAAGCCCACTGAAAATAAAGTTTAATACAACTACAGATAAAACTATAAAAGGTAATACTCAGTTTGTATTTAATCAGAGCAGGCCTTTTTTGCAGATAGCACTTTGTTTAAAATGACTTCTTTTTTGATTCAATATATGATCTATTTACAGATTAGTTTGACAGCACAAAACTGCAGACATGACAACACACTAAATATTTGTATGCTCTTTTGCATTTTTAAGGTTTTCTCCAAACTACAGCTGATGAGTTTTGCTTTTACTATGCAAGAAAAGATGGTGGTGTATGCTTTCCAGATTTTCCAAGAAAACAAGTGCGAGGGCCAGCTTCTAACTCCCTGGACCACATGGAAGAATATGACAAAGAGGAAGAGATCAGCAGGTTCATAAAGATAAATGCTGTTTAATCTGAAAAAAACCCCTAGCAAAGCCTGTGGTTTTCACAATGAAACAGCTCAATGTGTGCTTATGCTCAGCAGCTGTGTTTTCCAGATGTTACTTTCTTTCGCTGCTGCTAGCGTACGTCAAAAGAGAAAGTTACATTAGCTTCAATATTTCAGTACCATTTGATATTTGCGTTGCTGAAAAGGTGTTAGAATTCTGGTTTGATCCACCCTGTGGATCATACATAGTTCTAGGCAGTAATTTCTACCTGAATTTAATATTACTAAACAACTACCATAAGTTTATTAGTAAAATATTTATTTCATGATTTTCAATTTATTTCATTCATGTACTTTTCTTTGGGAAAATAACTAAATTAGATTGCCCCATCATAAGCCATTATTTTTAAATGGGTTTTAGAAGCCAAATTTTGTCAAATTGCTGGAATTCACTGTGTTTATTGTACAGTAGAAGTTTTGTATTTATAAATTGTTCTTTTTTTTTTACCACATTTTTTCTCTCTATTCCTTTACATTTCAGATCTAAGATGAATTAATCTTCTCTTTCTTGTATACAAACCAAATTTTGCTCAAGTGAAGTTCAAATTGATTTTCAGTATTATCTGCTTGCACACATTCAAGGAAATAATTTATTCTGGATTGTATAACTGTGTTTTTAGTATCGCTGCAGAACAATCATTTTATCTTTTAGGGACATTGTTGTGTTATGGTTATGAGAAAGAAGAAATTTCTCACTATTTTTTAAATTTTTTTTTAGAAAACACAAGCACAACTGCTTCTGTATTCAGGAGGTTGTGAGTGGACTAAGGCAGCCTGTTGGAGCAGTACATTGTGGGGATGGATCCCATCGCCTCTTTATTCTTGAGAAAGAAGGATATGTGAAGATTTTCAGTCCTGAAGGAGACATACTCAAGGAACCTTTTTTGGATATACACAAGCTTGTTCAAAGTGGAATAAAGGTTGGAATTTATGCTTATCTCTACCTGTTTATATTTTAGCCTGTATATGGGGAAAAAGGGAAGAAACGTTTTTCAGAAATTATTTTAATTTAAATAATAAAAAGGAAGAGTAATGACAATAGACACTACAGTTCTATCTGGCAAAGAAGTGAAAACCTCCTTGTTTCGGGAAGGGAAACCATAGCATCTTATAATTCTCATCACATTTTTCTCTTGCCCTTCATTTTTTCCTCACTTTAAATTCAGAAGAAACTATCCAACACTAGCACCCCACAGCATTATCTTTGTATTTTCATCCTTTGGGCTCATTTCCATCCCACTGAATTCAGCCAAGTTTTGCTGTGATTCCAGTGGGAGCAAGTTTGGCTCAGGGCCTTCCCTGACCTGCGGCTGCTCAGCGATGCCCCGGGAGCCGGACACAGGAGGGGGCCTGGGTGCTCCGGGACCCCCGGGAGAGGGGCATTGGTGCTCGCTCCCTCTTAGCTCAACCTCAGATGTGGAACAAGCTGCCCTTGGTGCGAGGCTGCTTTAAGACGGCATGTATTTGAGGTGCACGTAAAAAGTGACTGACCCTCTAAATTCAGCCATGCGGGCGGGTTGGTGCAACAGCTTTCATCCTGTTTAATGGGAAGACTTTCATGATCAGGGGAGTGAATGGTGAATGGGCACTGATGGGAATACATTGGAGGGTGGAGGTAAGAAATTACATCTAGGTATGGGGTAAGTACTAATGGAAAACTCCTAAGTCTATAGGGGGATGTTTTACTTTGGAAATGTCCTAAGTGGTGTTCCATGTTGATTTCTTGTCACATTTTAGAGTGGTAATGCAAGTAAAATCCAGATATATAAAGCAAATTTAAATTGTAATCAGGTTTTGCCTAGAACAGTCAGGACAGTATATCATAGAGCCTTCATGGATGAAAGATATATTGACATAATCTTGACAGAGTAATCTTAAATAATAATTGTGACAAACCATATCGATTTAAAATGCATCGCACATGCTAACTAATCATTTTGTGTTTCAGCTATAAGGGCAATAAGCCAATTAAGATAGTCTTTTCTGAGAGGGAATCTCAGAGGTTTTTGGTTTGTGTTGAAAGAGAGAGAGGGAAATGAAATATATTACACCTTTTTCAGGAAAAGAACCAATTTGTATGATTCTGTGATTTCCTGAATGCTTCCCTTTCTGCCTCTATAGCCAACCATTATGTTCAAGATACCAAAACAGAAGAGACTTATCAGGGGTATTTTTGAACATCAATCTAAGGCTGTTTCATATTTCTTAACCGAAAATTCTGATAGTTTCCAGTTGTGAAAAACTGACACTGAAACTTTCCACAGAACTGCTATCGGTCCCAAACAAACCTTCCTCAAGGAAACTTTTACAGATGAAACTTAGAGGCAAGGCTAAATGGAAAACTGATTTTCCATGCTTCTGAATAGGCAATAGCCTGCCTGATAAGACTCTCAACAGCTACCCTCAGATTCAGATTCAACTTTTAGTTCTGTTTTAAATCAGTGACCTGATCTTTTTAGTCTTTACTACTCTAACCATCATATAACATACTAAACTGGATCTGTTTCAACTGTAACATTTTGTGTAAATAATTTGATGTTCTCTAAGCTAGAAAGTCTAATTCAATTCCCTGAGATAACAGTCCAGTGACTGAGGATAATTGTATTGCAGTGTTTAATGCAGGCTGGCAAGAACAGAGGCTTTATGTACTTCACAGGTAAGGAGAAAGGGAATGTGCCTAGAAGCAATACTTCAGCTCTTTAAATAGAAAGGGGAAAGAATCTGAGGAATGAGTACATTATAAAAAATAATAAATAAATAGAATAAAACAAAGCCCACATAATCCAAATGGTAGTTTTAAAACAAGGGTTCTTAAACATTTTTATGTTTATTCCCTGCAGTCTAATTCCCATAATCATTGTCCATGGTCCTTTACCTACAAGAATGCAAGATCACTGTGACAACGGTAGCAATTATTCCATCAAAATAGACTACTTGAAGGGTATTTGATTTTACTTACCTGTTATACACTTCAAAACTAGAAATCAGTAATGGAGAATACTATGTGGATAGACAAATTTCCAGCAGGCAGTGCAGATAGTGTACAGCCAGCAATTAAAAAAAAAACCAACATTATCTAAAAACTGCATCCACATGCAAAGTGTGAGAATGGCTGAGTGTGTCCTCTGTGCTTACTCAAGAAATGCTTGTAGTGTCAGACAGATGAATTTGTATGTATACATTTTGCTCAATGTACTTGATTCTTCTCTTATAGTGGTGTAAGTGAAAAAGTACAATGAAATCAATGAATTTTGAGTTGTCCCTAATCAAACTTAGGCCCATATGTTCCAGCGAAGCGTTTTGCCAAGGTAACATGTTGCCTTTTTTGAGTCCTCTGTTCATTTACACAGATTCATAGATGTTAACCCAAATATCCAGTCAATTCCTGTATAACATCATCCATATAATGTTATTCTTGAACTAACACAGAGACTCTTCATTGAAGTAAACAAAAACTATTCACCTCTTTTCCAACCTTGGAGCAATGGTAGCAAGAAAAGGCAAACAATACTTTCTCCCTAAAAATAAGTGTAAAAATTTCCTCTCTTATACCCAAGTGTCTGAAAATAGCAGTTTCTGTGAACTTTTTGTCTGTATCTGAAATATGAACAAATACTTAACTAGTGACAATACTAAAAACATTTTTTCAAACTTTTATAGATATATGTTGTATCCAGTAAATAATAATAATCATCAAGCAGCTGTGGTTGAATGAAAGGTGATTTAAGTTGATACCTCCGAAAAGCATTTTGGACAGCTATCCCAAGATGATATTTTTAATGTTGACAGATGGAGTAAAATAGTGGTCGTTGATCTTCTCTTCTTTTTCTAATGCAAAGAGGAAATTTAGGAGTGATAAAATCATATTGTCGCAAAGCAGCAAATCTGTTGCATGATGATTTTCCAAAGAATATACTTAAAACGATCTTGAGGCTGATATAACCAAGAAACAGAAATGACATATTTCCTCCATAAAAATAATCCTGGACTTTAGTTCTGATCTCACTAACATCATTTCGCTCATCACAGCACTGGCAGTCAGGTAAGGGGGAAAACAATATACAAAAACAGAGGAAGAGAGGTGCCTGCATTATATAGCAATCAGCCACGATACCCTCCTAAACAGATGCTGGTTTGTTCCTCTAATGGAACTAATGGTCCCTGTGTTGATGAAATTCATTTAGAGCCCGTAACGTTGCTGTGAGCAAGCTTGTAGGCCTTCTTCGCTGGTCCTGCTAACCTAAGTACATGAATAGGATTATCTGGAGTTGCTTCGTGTCGGTCACTCCTGTGAAGGTCTGTGGATATAAATGGAAATTAAGTAAGAAGAGTGGTACAACCTGATGCATATGCTTTATTGGTCCATTGGCTTCTAATGTTCATTGAAGTCATTGAGGTCTCTGCTTGAAAATTGTTGCTGCAGTTAAAATCTACTGACAGTTATGTGATTTAATTTGAAGGAGTTCAAATGAAAGAGAAGAAGTGATAATTTTATATGCTGCCAGTATCTCAGAGGGAATTAGCACAAGCGTGTAGAAGTATTTCATAACAGAGAGATGCCATGAATGGATGATGGTAGCTTGTGCTTCCTGGAGGCCCTACTCAAGAGAAAATTAGATGCAGGATTCCTGAAGATTAAAAAAAAACCAAAAAAAAAACCAAAAAAAAAAAAAAGCTCTGAAGAGCTTAAGAAACAATTTTTCTCTGCACATCCCCCAGTTTCTAATCCTCTTTGACAGCACAGTTAGCAGGACTGCTTTTTTGATCTTCTATTTTTCAACCTAGTTGTCGGAAGCCATGAATGGATCTTAACGAAGAAGTTGCTGATTCAACATCTGTAGCCCTCTCTAATGTATTTTATGTCACACTGGCTACATAAGTATCGTAGTATGTGTGGATGGATTGGGCACTTGGCCAAGGCCCTCCTGTCACCCTTAGCCTTTTCTTCCCTATCTCAAGAATGTAGTGAAAAGAAGGAAGCTGTGCACCTCAGTCTTGCCCCAAAGTTGAGTAAGGACATGAGTGAGACATGTACCTGTAACTCGAAGCTAGGACATGCACCTGGGCTCAACTATGTAGGAATAGATAGCCCAGCATAGTGGAGAAAATACTGCTTCCATCACCTGTGCCCATTAATATTACAAAGTCTTGGAGTATTACAGAGTATGTGGCATGTATGTAGAAGAAAAGAATAAGCATTTACCAGAAAAAAAACCTAAAAGTCTGCTTCCCTGTTCTGGTGATTTACTGCTCCATTATGTTGTGGTGAAGAGAGTTGTTAGTTACAGAGCAACATTTTGCAGTTGTTCCTTCAAAGTTATGTAGCAAAGACAATTTTTTAATGAAAATATTAGTACCCGTTTTTCTTTCGGACTGACTTTCACTACTGTTATTTTCTTTTTGTCTTAAAGTATTGCCAAGTGGAAGAGAGGCAGAAAGTTTGAATGAGAAGCTATTGAACTAATAATTGTAATAATTTGATTTCACTGGCTGTTTAAGGAGACCTTAATCAATTACCAAGAAAAAATAGTCCGGATCTATCTGAATCTATTGTCAAAAAGTTAGGCAAAATAATTAAATGCTTTAAAAGTATCGGGCAAATATGATTTTATCCCATAATGCGCTCAGCAGAAAAAAACAGGACCAAAACATTCTAAATACTTGAATTTAATGATTTCTTGAGATGTAGCAGTGCTGAATATGTTGTTATTACAAGATCAGTCACCTTGTACTCAAGATTGTATCTAACTTACAGAAAAACGCTGAATGCTCTAGCAGTTCTCCAAATTTCCTTACTCCTGTGGCTGTAGTTTATCTTATTAACTGTATTATGTCTTAAGATTTGGAAACCTTTAGATTAGTAGCAGCCACCATAAAATGTAGCACAACCTATTACATCAATTTTCACTCACTCTCTTGC